AGAGAGAGAGAGAGAGACACGGGATATCAGCGAGTGTTGATGTGCGCCACGGCGTAGCCGTGGCGGGTTCCGCTTGTTATATGAAAGGCAAAGGACAGGCGACAAGATCTAGAACACCACAATCAGCATAACGAAAAGATGGCAAAAAAAAAAAAAAGAAAAAAAAGAAAAAAAAAAAAAGATGGGACCACTTCAAGGTGTACATCACAGGAGGAGAACCTGGGACCTGGGACCTGGGACCTGGGACCTGGAACCTGGGACCTGGGACCTGGTTTACATACGTAAACCACCAGTACCTCGCGGTCTCTTTTCCGAATGTGGATTTAACCAGGCTCACATCATCAGAATTGCAAGACAACAACTTTTCGCTGAGGGTCACAACAGAATTCCTCAAAGGCAATCATAGAATGCTGATTGCCCCTCTGAGGACCTCAAAGACAATCATAGAGTGCTGATTGCCTTCTCAAAGGCAATCAGTGAGTGCTGCTGATTGCCTTTGAGGACCTCACAGGGGCAATCATCAGGGTCCTCACAGATCAGAGAGTCGCACTGAGTTGCGTTGAGAGTGTCCCCCTGTACGAACTTGACACGTTCTAAGGAGCACGCAAAAAAAAAAAAAAAAAAAAAAGACTGAATCTGACTGAATCTGGCTCGCCAGAGAAAGAGCACTCACAAAAAAAAAAAAGAAAAAAAAAAAGACTGAATCTGACTGCAGGCATGAACCAGCCAGATTCAGTTCAGAAAATCTGGACGCAACTGCCATAACTCGCTACAGGAAAAGGATTCTCCTCCTCCATGTAGTCATATGCTTAAATTGGATGCCTCCTCCCGTCCGACCTGGTATCAACAGTCTGGGCTCCTCCGCAAGCTTCGTTATATGAGTAAATTGGGTGGCTTCTCCCATCGGACCTGAGATCTACAGTCTGGGCTATTCACAGAGAGACGGATTCCATTAGCGCGTGACCACACAAGTGGTTAACGGGGACCCCCACTTTTCGGCCCTGAGTAACGATGAATGATCCTGAAATTAGGGTTTCGGGGTCAAATTTTGTGTTTTATTGGAATTTTTTGACCAAGGATTAAATTCGACCAAAGCCATCAATACCTTGAACGCAAGTGGTGCCCAAGGCTCTTCTGCCGGGTGCACGGCCGCCTGAAGGTAAAAAAAAAAAAAAAAAAGACTGGCAGTTCGATCCTGGCTAAGGAACGGACATCCCATGCCACTCTCGGCATGAAAAGACCCCCCCTCTACCAAAGGGCCTCGCTCAGTTGGTACACCCATAAACTGAAAAATACAGTCACGAGTTCCACTCCACATTCAACCACAGCACCACAATCGACCGACCGAACCAACGAACCAACGAACGACCGACCGAACCAACGAACCAACGAACGAGCGAACGAGCGAACGAACCAACGAAGTAACGAACAAAAAAAGAAAGAATTCCACGAACCTGTGGCCAATCTGTTCAACAAACAAACAAACAAACAAACAAACAAACAAACAAACAAACAAACAAACAAACGACCGAACCAACGAACGAGCGAACGAGCGAACGAACCAACAAACGAACGGACGAACAAAAAAAGAAAGAATTCCAATCCAGTGACGAGTTCCAGATGAAATCTCAACAGGCCATTGCAACTCTTGAAAAAGGAAGAAGAAGAAGAGAAGAAAACAGAAGGATAAAAAGAGAGGAAGGAAGAACAAACCAACAAACCAACAAACGAACGAACGAACGAACGAACGAACGAACGAACGGACGGTCGGTCGGACGGACGGATGAACGAACGAAAGAACAAGAAAAGAGCACCTCCTACGTACTGAACAAAGGGTAACCGAAGAGGTATGTCTCCACGATTTACAGTCGACGGCATCGTGGCTTGCAACCGTCCTCTCGCCTGCAGAATGGCAACTGTCCTTACGCGAATTGAGCGCATATGGTCATTATGGACTTTTTACAGTCGACGTCTTTTGCACCACCTATCAGTATACAGAAAGCAAAAGGTGAAGACGGTAAAAGTGCTTTGCCAGACCGAAGGGTAGCAAAAAAATTCAAAAAATATATTTAAATATATTTAAAATAGTATAGTCGAGAACAATATACATTATGTGATGCATTTAGGAGACCCTGTATCCTATACATGTTTGAAGACTTAGTGGAAACAGACATGTAAAAGGATTGCAGTTGTGAACCAGGACCATCAGCATGAATGCAGCAAGCAAAAGTGGATACATACATTCACAAACAGCTAGGACAACATACATGTCTGAACTGGATACCCTATACATCTGTATAGGATACCCTATAATCCTATGCAAGTTTGAAGTGGAAACAGATATGTAAAAGGATTGCAGTTGTGGACCAGGACCATCAGCATGAATGCAGCAAGGAAAAGTGGTATACATACATTCGCAAACAGCTGAGGCAAGGACACGAACTTGCAGTTATTTGACAGAGAGGAATTCGTTGTGGATACGGAAATGGCAACATTGTTTGGGTCCAAATACAGCAATAAATAATGACCGTATTTGGGGCAACTTCTGGCCCAGATGCAGCAATAATGCCCCGCATGAAGCCAGGCTCACCTACCTCTAATTGGCTTGCCAATTCATGTTCCTCATCCGTGTCCACTTTCACAAACATGGCCCTTTCGCCGTACTCCAATGCCAGCTGAACCATTGATCACAGCAATCGATTCAAACCCCATCATATCCCAAAACCATCCACCCCCAACCAACGATCCATCAGTCGGCCAATCAATCAATCAATCAAACAAACAAAACATTAGTAGACACACACAAAAACGTCCTTTTTTTTTCCTTTTCTTTTTTTTTTTTCTTTCTCTTTCTTTTTTTTTCCTTTTTTTTTTT